TTGATAGACGTTAAGTATGTCCTATGAGCCATACTCAGCCTCCGGTCGGTCTTAGATGTAATGTCCTACGAGCCATAATATGCGTACACTTAAGAGAAATATGAATTAAGATCTATACTATTGATCTAGTCATTTGCAAGGGAAGATATAGCTGATGATTGAGCAACCCAATCTACCCTTGAGTTTTGTGTTCGAGATATTTCTTCAACTTTGATTCACAAGATCATTCTGAGATTAGACACCATCAATCCAAATCATGCTGAACACTGCCATGGACAATAGAAAAAATATTAATGATTGCACGAACTTATATTTTACAATCCAATTGGACAACACAATCCTATCCATAATCTTGTGCTAATTCTAGACCTTTCAATAAGGCTTTTGTTTTAATTTCAATCTTAGTAGAAGAAAGGTTAGTATTCACTTTTGCATCACAAACTTATCCATGAGTTTTAATGGCCAAAACTCATCACAACGGATCACCATTGAAGGATTACTTGATATTTGAGAAGCATATGAGTAGGGGTCCTGAGGTGAGAACTGAAAACTGAGGAGAGGTGATTTAGTGTGATCTCATGTGTAGGAGGTCCAATCGAGAAACATTAGGAGGTAGCCCCAGTGGTCACGAGAGGCCATGGAGGGCGCTTTCTTTCTGAATACACTTTTATTCTTAGTCTTCCAAAAGAGAAACACAACATGAAGGAGATTTATGCAAATATCATAATCATTTTCGAAATAAAAATGATTGAGGGAGGGATTTAGAGATATAAAAAAAAAAACATTCCAAAAGCAGATCATATATGAGTCACTATAATGTTCATTTTGATATCTCAAATTTAATTTTAATGTAAATTGGTCCAATGTTTATATTTCACTTGAATCCATGAACCCATTCCACCAATCCTTTTGAACCAATTTATGAATCCAATCCATTATAACATAAAATTATAAATTTAGTTTATACTATACAAGATGTTATATCAAACATCTACTAACTACATGTAACAAAATATGTCAGATCTACATAAGCAAGTGTCAATAAATTACTATGGTGAAAAGGGTTGACTGTTGTATTAACGGCCAACTAAAAGAATTGGTCAAAACCTTTCCATCATCTACTTACTCATCATTTCACTTTTTACTCACCTTCCATAACCCTTTATTTTTTCTTTGCCTTCTTCGTCTAACCGTAATTAGTATATTATTTTTAAGTATTCTAATAACAAGTATGAACTGGCCCATACATGACTCACCAACAGTCTATAGAATTAATAATTGAACCATAAACTACTAACTTTTTCAGCTCAATGTCGAGTCCAATTAAAAATAAATATATATGATTATTACTTATTAGAAAGTCGTCATTTTCCACTATGAGATTTGAAGGGATGAAATTTTAAGTGAGTTCCAATTTGTATTCTTTTTGCTTCTGTCTAGAGATTTTCTTTTTCACCCTAGCTAGAATTTTCAACAATTATACATGGAATGTTTGGCTAGGTATCTACACATATCAAATAAATAGTTTTTATTTTTCTATATAAAGTAAATAATTATTATCTTAAATACATCCCCATAGAAGGAATTAAGCCTCAACTATGCAAATTACAGTTCAGTACCTAAACTTAAAAGATATTTAGATTTATAATCTAAATTTATTTTTTTGGCATATAAGTCCTCAACATATTGATGGAACATTACATTTTAGTAACTAAATTTTTTGTGTATTACATTTTGGTATCTAAACGGTTAAAGTTCTACAAATAGATCTAATTTTTATATGTGTAATTAAAACACTCTCGAATAAATGGGTATTCATAACCAACTCATACACATTTAGATTACAGAAGTAAATATCCATACCCTACCCAAACCCATCTACAAACATCCAAGCCAATATATACTTCACCCATACCCTATCCATAATCAATGAGTCTACTTAGGTTTTGACCACCATATATCTCTTCTAAGTCAATATGATATTGTCAATTCAATATTACTAACAAAACGGATAACAAAAAATCAATCTTAGGCTAATAATAATAACAAAACACCATAATGAGCCACATAATACATGCCCATAGCCCCATAGGCCATCTCCGTCCCGCGACAAGTCCCGGGATCGCCACCTAGTTATTATATATAAAGTTGAAGTTTAGTTACTGTTGCCTAAAAAAATACCATTTTGATACTCCAAATTTATTAAATTATAACTTAGTCACTATAATATACATTTTACATTTTGATACCCTAAATCTTATGAGATTTCGTACCTACAATATATATAAACTTGAAGTGAGGTTACTATTGTCTAAACTATTTCATTTTGATACTCCAAATTTAATTAAATTACAACTTAGTCACTATAATATACATTTTACATTTTGATACCCCAAATTTAATTTTAATGTAAAATTATTGAATAATTATATTTTGGTATCTAAATTTTATGAGATTTTCGTACCTACAATTTTTCACTTTTAAAGATTGGTACAATGTTTAGATTTGACTTGAATACATGAATCCAATCCACCAATCATTTTGAACCAATCCATGAATCCAATCCACCATAACATAAAAGTATAAATTTAGTTTGTACCATAGAAGATGTTGTATCACTCAACTGTAGGGGAAGATCGACCATTTTATATTTGCTCATTACATGAAACCATTAAAAAAATAGTACCATTTACGTGGTACTGAACAAAATTCTACTAACTACATGTAACAAAATATGTGAAATCTACATAAGCAAGTGTCAATAAATTGCTTCGGCAAAAAAGATTGATTGTTGTATTGATGGCCAACTAAAAGAATTGGTCAAAACATTTCCATCATCTACTTGCCCTTCATTTCATTTTTAACTCGCATTCTATAACCCTTTCTTTATTTCTTTCTTTGCCTTCTTCGTCTAACCCTAATTAGTATACTATTTTTATGTATTCTAATCACAAGTATCACTCATAAATTCATAAAATCACTCCAAAAATGATAAAATCACTCATAAATTAGTGAGATGTTTAAAAAAAATTGACATGGATTTGAAAGACATGTTTGGAGTTTAAGGATAATCAAATATCATGTGTTTCTTATAGTAGTATTACTTTTGCGATTGTTTTTGACGATTTGTGCAATTTGTATTTCATTTAATTAGCATGAGAGGATTTGAGAATATGTTAAATGACATGTGTTAGGTAAACTATTGCCATGCATATGCGATGATTTGTGTTATTTAAAAAAATATGAAGCATGTTTGATATTGTTTCTGAGAGCGCTCATAACTCGAAACGACCTGTAACCCATCTCGAACCCTATGGGTTGGGTTAAGATTTGACCCGAAATCAGTCAGCCCAACATGATCTGACCTGTGACCCGAGACCCTAACCCGAATTACCCAACCCGACCTGATTGCCAGCTCTAGTTGAATATAAGTACGAACTTCTATTTTGGTGTAATGTTATATGATATTACCCATGTTTTTTGTGAGATTTGATATAATTTATAAATGTATGAACAATATAATGAAATTTTTATATATTCAGTCTAAACCGACTAAAACTATCGTACCATTAACTCTCAACTCACTTATACGACCGCGCTAGTGGACTGACCGGATTGACAACCTTGTAAGAACACATTAAACAACTCTAAGCAGTATAGTATGGTTGGGTGTTGTTATTGTACCTCCCATAATTCCACATTGCACATCTCCGCTATTAGGATCAAAATCGGTAGATCTAAGCTCAAACTAGTGAAACATATTATAAAATCTTTTTTGACATATCCCTAGCCCATACCCTATACTTGCAGGTATGCACTATGCACTAGTAATTTGATTGTACAAAAATAGACAAGGTATATCATAAAATCTTATATATTAAAAAAAAAACATTATTCCTGGTTAATTTCTTACTACATTTTACTGCCTTAGGTTTCTTACACACTCCAGCATCACAATCAAATGGCTCCAGATACGGTCAGTAACCCCTAGTTACTAACCAATGAGTAATCAAATCTCTACCATCAAATTTAAGTTGAGTAAGAAAATCCAGATCTAAGTGTGGAGAATTAAAAGCATTTTTCTTATTTTCTTAATTGGCTCATTACTTCTTCGTTTTAACTCGGATTTAAAAAAAAAATTCACAAATTGAATGAGTTCGTTATGCTCTACAAAATGAGATCTATTTTCAATATTTTTTTAGAAAAAAAATTATTGCCTCTCGTCACCAACTGCATACCATATGGTATCTTCTTCGTATTTAATTAAATTTTTAAATTTTTTTCACAAAATGAACGAGTTCATCATGATCTATTGGATCTACAAATTTCTTGGTTAACAAAATACAGGACCTAAAAATATCACACAATACCACCCTGGTATGAGGTGGTATCTTGTGGTACACAATGTTGAAAGTCGTAAATGACAGTTAATATACTCCTACTATCATGTATTCAATCATCCTACAGTCTTGATAAGTTCATACCACCATGGTAAGCTTTTTCATACCATATGGTATGCTCTTATTTAATACTAATCAATACCATATGGTATATATCAAAGTGGATATCATTTTGAAGAGCACAATTAATATGATCTAACTGTGTACAAAAATTAAATTCCGACTTAAAACGAGTGAGAAATCGTCTATTAAAGATTAAGTAGAAAAAATTAAAGACTTTTTAGAAAAGAGAAGGGGCGTTGATGTGGCGGATGGTAATTGAGTATGAATAGTTACTCTTCACAAGATTATGCATCAGATCATTTTCCGAATCAAACATTCTAGGAAACAATTACCATATGTGCTACTATATTTTTGCTTAATTTAGATTACATACTGAAGCACCACAATCAACATTTTGAGGTAACAATAAGTACCGTATGTATTACGATTGTTTTCTCTTAATTTAGATTACACCATACTTAGAAGGTACTTTAAAATATTTGTTATTAAATAGCGAAAGAATGTTTCTATATAGAAACTCCATTTCTCCTGCATAAGAAACATCACCAAAAGCTACTGATTATTTGATCAAGTTTCATGGTAATTAGTTTCTAAATCATTTGTTACTCGAACAATTAATGGCGATTACCACGTTAACAAAGGTGATCATTCTCACGATTTTCCTTTATGGATTGTTGATTGCTGAAGTTGATGCTAGGGAGATTGACTACGGCCCCATTGTTCAGGATAATCCTCCTTGTGGTGGTGGGAAGCCGTGCCCGAAGATTCCTGTGAATCCATACACAAGAGCTGTGAAGAATTGGAAGGATGTCGCAATGGCCATCACCAGAAGCTACCTTGACGATGGAGGATACTTGGCGATTGTTAGGGTGGCGCTACTTTGCGATCCACTCAAATTTTTAGATTTTGTATGAATCTGATGTTTATTAAATATTTGGGGTGGGTTGGGTGGATTTTTAAAAGTAAAATGCATCCATTCGCGGTTAAATGCATTGACAATTTTTAATCAATCGTCCACTCACATTTAGTTTCGGGTTGGGTCGGGTGAATGACGGATAATGCAGGTGGGTTTGTGGATTCATCCACATCACAATGTACAAAATATAGAGAAGTCAACTTGACATGATCCATTTATATTTTAGAGCCTGTGTAATGTCAATATGTAAAATAAAAATCCATTTCAACATCCATTCACCCTGCAAATTTGAGATTCACTTCAAGTGGCAAGATTATTGGTGGAGAGTTATCGGGCAGAAACAAGAAGATGGAATAGGAAGAAAACATGTCGAATTAGTTCTGAAATTGGATAAAAATTCTATTATGGGGGAGTTTTCTACGGTTGGAAATGATTATCACCTGCAGGAAACTAAGAAAAATAATTTAAGGGAGGAAATAGAGGTAATTTGGGCACAAGAATCAGAGGAAAAATTAAGGGAAGAAGAGACAAATTAGGATTTGGAAGATTGACTTTGAGATTCAATCTCCAAAAGTAGCCTTAGTTTCCGTCAGTGTCTCCATTCTCCACTCTCCAGCACCAACGACTTTATTCTTTTTGATGTTGGATAGAGCGGGTCACCCGCGCATCCGTCCACAACCCATCCGCCACCCGACGAATGCCTCCCAGCACAACTTGTCACTCACCCACCTACGTAACGAGATTCGGATCAAATACGGACGGATCGACCCAAACCCGTGAGTGACCCGTCCCATACCCAACCCTATAAAATATGTAGAATTTCCATATGTATAGTAGTTAGTTCGTTGGAAAACGTTTTACGTAATATTTTGTTAGTTAGAAGATATTATATGTCATGTTGTATTCAATTTTATATATACTGACGAATAAAGTAAATCTTTTATTGTGATTTGTTTTGTAACACTTTTTAGTTTTAGAGATCAAATTATATTTTATCCAAACCCACCTTTGGGTTAGCTGAAAGTTTATAAGCATTTCAGTCAAAAGTAGCTGAAAGCCTAAGTAAAGAACTAAAATCAATAATACACATCTAAAATCAATAATACACATCTAAGAGCTCGAGAAATTTTACAATGCTATATAGTATTGGTGCTATAGAATTTTGTTTTTATGGTACAACTTCATGTTGTGCCTTTAACGTTATGATATAATTTCAGCTTGTATATACTATTTTATAAATTTTTTTATGGTACAACTTGAACTTGTACCTTTATGTGATGGTACAAATTCCTTTATGGTACAACCCAAACTTATACATTTTACGTTATGGTACAACTTTAAGTTGTACATTAAAGCACCCATGCTTTATAGCATAGTAGAAGTGCTCCTAAGAGCTCTCATGCTCTACAGATTAGCATCTCTCATACTGATTGTCACGAGCCTTGCAAATTCTTGTTTTGTGTATTCATATCTTTCTTTATACGCATATAAAGCATAATATCATGGAAATTCCTACAATTAAGGTACCTTTTTTTTTCCTTGACATAGCAGGTTTCACAGGTTGTACTACATAAAACACAATAGATATTAAGTAATGATTACGTAACGTAAGTATATCTTACGTAATTGTTGTAAAATCTCATTACGGAAGCCTTACGTAATAGAGGGTTCTTTTAGGTAAGGAATTGATTTATCTTGCTTAAATAAGTGATTACATAATTCTTACGTAATACTTCTAATTTAACTATTACCTAAGAAATAACTATCATTACCGAAGCCTTATTTAATGAAGGGTACTTTGACAAAACGAATATTAACCCTCTGTTACGTAAAGTGTTAAGGCATTATGGAAGCCTTAGTAATGATTCTGATTTAACTATTACGTAATAAATAACTATCAATACGGAACCTTTACGTAATAGATGTATATTTTACGTAACAATTATAAATTGTCATTACAGAAGCCTTACGTAATTGAGACTTCTTTTAAGTAAAGTGTGAAGTCATTACAAAAGGCTTACTTAACGCTTTTGATTTAACTGTTACATAAGAAACAACTGTCATTACAGAACCCTACGTAATGGATGTGTATTTTACGTAACAGTTGTAAAATGTCATTACAAAAGGCTTACTTAACGCTTCTGATTTAGCTGTTACTCAAGAAACTACTGTCATTACATAAGCATTCAGTAATGTATGTATATTTTATGTAAAAGTTGTAAAATCTCATAAGGCAAGCCTTACGCAATCGAGACTTCTTTTACGTAATGAATATTAATATTGTGTTACGTAAAGTGTGAAGTCATTATGGAATGCTTACGTAATGCTTCTGATTTTACGGTTTCAGAAGAAATAACTGTCATTAGCAAAGACTTACGTAATGGATGTGAATTTTATGGTCAATCTCGTGCAATCTAGCACAAGGGAGAAGGCTCAAAATAGATAGGTAGAACTAGGCCACAAACAAGGTGTCTACTTGTTCGATACATGCCCATGAATCACTCAGAATCCACCAAGCAATTCCAACAACTAATGAAGCAAAACTTGTGAATGAAAACTTTAAGTTTTTACTCAATTGAATGAAATCTAAGTTTACAATGCAATCAGAAGAATTTAAATAGAATTAGACTAAGCTACAAACTCTAAAGGATGACCTAAACACAAATGAATTCGGAAAACAAACTAAAAACAGAAAATGAAAGTAATCCTAAACCGAGAAGGATTCGGATTTGCAAGACACACTGATAGGGATCCATATGATCTTGCAAGGGTTCATTCGAAGCCTTATAGGTAAGCTTTTAGTCATCCAATTCCTTGAGGTTATAGTAGAAAACATGTACTTTCATGTGGCACAACCCACTGGACTCGACTCTCAACCCTCCATCTCGAATAAGCCTCCAAAGTTGGGTTCCTTAATTGCCTTCCATACTTACCTAAAATCTGGCAGTTTCTCGATTTTGCATAGCAACTTAAGGGACTTGAAAATTAAGCTTGGAGACTTGAATCTGGCCAGGAAAGCCTTCAATCTTGTAGAGTAACACTTTGAACTTCAACTCCATGCATTCTCCTTGAATTTCCATCAAGCCATTTGTGAGGAGTGACCTAGCAAGGTAGACATCCTGAAACATAGAAAACACTTAAGACAATTTTTAAGGTTCTTCTTTCAATTTGAGATAGCTTCTTTGTCAAGCCATAGAAATTTGTAAGATTGATCAATTGGGATCATATCAGCCCCCCCTCTTTAAAAAGCTTTTCCCTCAAAGCTCTGCCCTTCCTCGGCCTAAAAACTTCATAGAATTGATCCCAAATTGGATCAAAAGTAGGCTGCGCAAACTGCCTTTCATCCAAAATTAGGTGAGAAGTGTTCTTTATTGAAGAAATTGGGGCTTTGTGATTGAAGGATTCCCTACTTAATTTATGACATTCACAGGCGTCACCATGCTCCCAATTGTCTTTATAATCCTATCTCCATCATCGAATCATCCCCATCATTGTCGAAAAGCAAGGTTCTTGATCACTTGAGTCCGTGTAGATTATTGTCAATGGTTAGCACGTGTCAACAACTACCCCATCCTAAGCAAAGTTTAACCTAAGATGATATTGTCTTATAGTGGTAATCAAGGTCGTATTTTACTCAAGTCCTATTATCCTACCCTACTTCCCACCTAGTGGTTAATTAGTCTATCGGTTTTGGAGGTTTGAGTTGAGGATTTGAGGGAACCACTAGTTTAGAGATTGAATTAAGATAAAAGCACGAATTTTGGGGAACTATGCCTCACCCTAACCTAGGTTTACTATGTATATCTAGATACTAAGGGTTATCAAATGTGGTGAGTGATCTCGTTTCAGTGTGCTTTCGTGGTTATCAACACACTTCTGAGTACGAATCCCCTATACCCATATAAAGTCACCTCGATCTAGGATATCGTATCTCGGGCACTAAGCTCATATCTCCTTTCAATGGATACTATCCACTGATTCGGGCTCATTTGTACACTTTTTACCCCCAATTTGCTAAGTCATTTGAAGCATTTTTACTCCAGGAGGTTTGGTTTTATGCCGGGTTTTTCCTTGTTTTTTGGTGTTTTTCAGACTATGGCAGGTGGAACCAACCCCGGAGCCGAAAGTTGGACGAAAGGGCGAAAAATCAAGTCAAAGTGTGGAAGCAGCAGTAGATCACCGTTTGAGTTGTGCGTTCACGGTCACAAAGACCGTGAACTGGAGGCGCTACCCGTGAACAGCCAGGCATCTATAGCACAAATCAGTTTCACTGGACTCAAGTCAGTTCACAGTCATAACACCGTGAACTCAGGCCATTGCTCGTGAACAAGACTTAGTAATGCGACGCGTTTCAACTTGAGATCACGGTTTAGGCTTTCAGTTCACGACCGTGAACTGGGACCGTGATCTGAGCCCGATCTGGGTATATAAAGGAGGTTGAGCTGAAGGGAAAAAGGGGAGAGACCTAGTGTGAGAAACTTCTTCTCCTTCTTCTTCTTCTTCAGATTTATAGAGTGAGAAAGTGACAAACCAAAGAAGAGGAGAAGCTAGGGTTTCATCTTCAAGCAAGGATTTTGGATTCCTCCCCCAAAGGAGGATCTCTTCAAAACAAGAAGCAAGGCTAGCATCTCATTGATGGTTTTCCCTCTTCTCTCTTGTGTTTTCCCTTCTCCTAGCATGGAGTAGTCCCTACTCTCACTTGGATGTTTGTAAACCCTAGCTACAATTATGTGAATGCTTGTATAGACTGAATGATTTGTGGGTGGTTGTGTTTAATGTGAATGTTGATTCGGGTCTAAATGCACACATTTTACCCATCATTGCTTGATAGTTTTGGCTTTGCATTTCATCGTCCCTCGACATATTTCACTCTAGGTTGTGCTTGTTTTGCTATATTTCAGGTCCTAGCACATGTGGGAGGTTCGAGGACGAGTTTTGGGACGATTCGAGGTCGAAAGGCGCAAAAAGGGAAAAAAGTATAAAGTTCGTGATTGGTTGCGGTTTGGAGAAGGGAAGTAAGGTTTTTGGCCGTTGCTTGTAGGAGAAGGTTCTAGTCAAAACCGTAGAACCTGGTATCTTTGGTTGAAGATGTAGAACCTCATGCTTTGCTTGCCACCACCCAAAAGGCCTTTATCCAATGTCCAAAACCCTTGCCAGTCATTTGAACCCGTGTCTAAGACCTCTGGACTTGCTAGTGATAACAACTGACTTGTGAACTCTAGCATTTAGAGGTTGCCTCCATGGTGGAGAGACGATAGGGCTGAGTGTTA